AGCTGTGGCCTGACCAGTGTTGTGTAGAGGGGGAGGATCACCTCCTTGGCCCTACTTGAGATGCACCTGTGGATGCACGACAAGGTCCGGTTAGCCCTGCCAACCGTGACCTCGCATTGTCGGCCCATGTTCATCTTGGAGTCAGTAATGACTCCAAGATCCCTTTCTGCCTTCGTGCTCTCAAGAAGGGAGTTTCCCATCTTATAAGCGTGCTGCTGGTTACTACTGCCCAAATGCAGCACCCTGCTGGTTGGGTCAGGGTTGTGTAGAATGGGATTCAGGTGCAGAGTTTTGGAGGGCACTAGCATAATACCAGCATAGATTGTGCCCCACTTTTGCTACCTTGGCACCATTTAAATCCACTGCTCTCCCCTTCATAAGTATAAGAGTATAAGAACATTGGTCAGGCATGCCAGGATGAAGTTAGGAAGGCCAAATCACAATTGGAGTTGCAGCTAGCAAGGGATGTGAAGGGTAACAAGAAGGGATTCTACAAGTATGTCAGTAGCAAAAGAAGGATCAGGACAAGTGTGGGTCCCTTACTGAATGGGAGAGGCAAACTTGTGACAGAGGATGCAGAAAAGGCTGAAGTGCTCAATGCCTTTTTCACCTCTGTCTTCACAGGCAAGGTCAGCTCCCAGACTATTGCACTGGGCAGCAGAGTTTGGGGAGGAGATGAGCAGCCAACAGTGGTGAAAGAACAGGTTAAGAACTATTTAGAAAAGCTGGTTATATACAGGTCCATGGGGCCAGATGGGATACACCCAAGCATGCTGAAAGTGTTGGCTGATGTGACTGCAGAGCCACTGGCCATCAACTTGGAAAACTCATGGCGATCAGGAGAGGTCCCAGGTAATTGCAAAAGAGCAAACATGGTGCCCATATTTAAGAAAAGGAAACAGGAGGGTCCAGAGAACTACAGACCAGTCAGCCTCACTTCAGTCTCCAGAAAAATCATGGAGCAGATCCTTGAGGAATCTATTTCTAAGCACTTGAAGGAGAAGAAAGTGATTAGGAACAGTCAGCATGGATTCACCAAGGGCAAGTCATGCCTGACCAACCTGATTGCCTTCTATGAGGAGATAACTGGATCTGTGGATGTGGGGAGACCAGTGGATGTGGTGTACCTTGATCTTAGCAAGGCTTTTGCTACGGTCTCCCACAACATTCTTGCAGGCAAGCCAAGGAAGTACAGGCTGGATGGATGAACTGAAAGTTGGATAGAAAACTGGCTGGAGCATCGGGCTCAGAGAGTAGTAATCAATGGCTCAAAGTCTAGTTGGCAGCCGGTATCAAGTGGACTGCCCAGGGGATAGGTCCTGAGGCCGGTTATGTTCAATGTCTTCATCAATGACCTGGAAAATGGCATAGAGTTCACACTTAGCAAGTTTGCAGATGACACAAATCTGGAGGGAGTAGTAGATATGCTGGAAGGTAGGGCTACGATTCAGAGTAACTTCAACAAATTGGAGGATTGGGCTAAAAAAATTCTCATGAGCTTTAACAAGGATAAGTGAAAAGTCCTGAACTTAGGAAAGAACAATCCCATGCACCAGTACAGGCTGGGGGCTGACTGGCTGGGCAGCAGCTCTGCAGAAAAGGACCTGGGGATTACAGTGGACAGTAAGATGAATGAGCCAACAGCGTGCCCTTGTTGCCAAGAAGGCTAACAGCATACTGGGCTGCATTGGTAGGAGCATTGCCAGCAGGTCAAGGGAACTGATTCTTCCCCTCTATTCAGCACCGATGAGGCCACATCTGGAGTACTGTGTCCAGTTTTGGGCCCCCACTATAGAAAGGATGTCAACAAATTGGAGAGAGTCCACTGGAGGGAACAAAAATGGTTTGGGGGCTGGGACACACAACTTATGAGGAGAGGTTGAGGGAACTGGGCTTATTTATTCTGGAGAAGAGAAGACGGGGGTGGGGGTGGGATTTAATAGCAGCCTTCAACTACCTGAAGGGAGGTTCAAAAGAGGATGGAGCCGGACTGTTTTCAGCGGTGGCAAATGACACAACAAGGAGCAATGGTCTCAAGTTGCAGCAGGGGAAATTTAGGTTGGAAAGTAGGTAGAATTTTCTCACTAGGAGGGTAGTAAAACACGGAAAGAGCTTTCCCAGAGAGGTGGTGGAATCTTTGTCCTTGGAGGTTTTTAGGGCCCAGCTAGAAAAAGCTTTGGCTGGGATGATCTAGTTGGGGATGGTCCTGCTTTGAGCAGGGAGTTGGACTAGATGACCCCCTGAGTTCTCTTCCAACCTTAATTTTCTATAACTCTATGATTCATGTCTGTCTCCTCCTGGGTGGGAGGGAATGTTGCTTGCTGATGCTGTCTCAGCTCTGCGCTTAGACTGCTCCCCATGCAGGTCCCATCTCTCGACTACGGAGTTGTGCTCTGGTTTGATGCCTACGCGCTCAGGAGGCAGACGCATGACCTGCCGTGCACTCAAGGCCAGTGGATCATTCAGAACAGAAGGTGTGCACTCATATTCTTGCTCATTTCTCACCCTCCATTTTCCCATTCCTGAATAGCTTTGCTGCAAGTCTGAATTGTCCCACTGCCGTCTATTGTTCAGCCCAGTCCCTAGTTTGTTCTGGAAATCTTCACAAGGCATCTGCTCACTCCCACTCCATCATCTTATCTCAGCCTTTACCTTTAACTGCTCACTATTGTGCTGATGCCACTTCCTTGCCTATATCTTTTTTCAATTCTCTAATGACTCCTCCTTGTCCACAGACTCTGTCTTTCTTAGTTAAGGCAGTGTAAAACTGCCTCAGCTCAGTATCTCCAAGATCAGGGGAAACATCCTCAGCAGTCTCCAGCTTCGTTATCAACCTGCCTTCTTTATTTCATTGTTTGAATCAGACTTCCTAGTTTCCTCCTCTGTGTGTAACCTTGGCATCCTCCCACATCTCCAGTGTTTGCAAATCTGCCTATCACCACCTCTGCAATATTGTCTGTGTCTGCCATTGCCTTGAATCCACCTCCGCAGAGAGCTGCCACCCAGGCTCCATATCCTCCTGCTTTGACTGTAGTGACTTCCTTTTTTGAGGCCTCCCTAAGCCCACATGCCTTCATCTACTGAAAGTTGCTGCCTGCTTTCCCTCGTACACAGAAGCATGGGCGCAGCATCCTCCTTCTCAAAGCCTTTCAGCTGGTTCTACACTTCTTGCAGAATCCTGTTCAAAATATCTTCTTTCTCTGGAGCCACCCCTGGCCTCTTTCCAGCCTACCTTACAGACTTCATCTCACCGGCTCATGAAAGCCTCAGCCACCTCACTGTCTCTGGGCTTGATCTAGAACTCCTTGAAATCAGTGGACATTAGGTCAGTGATGAACTCAGATGCACCACTACTGGCATAAGAGTTGTTTCACTATCCACTGAAGCCTTCCTGGTTTTCCCCATCTCACCAACATACCCTCCATTTATAATTCTCCTTTGCCTGCACCTTTTCACTCCTCTATCTCTATTTCATTTTTCTGTTTAGCTCTTATTTCACAATCAAAAGCCTTTAGAACATGGGGGAATAGCAAAATCTGTTTAAATACAGGGGGTATACCCAGATAGGAGTTAATTACAGTTACGACCTCCAAAGTCCATGGTGTCATGGTGGACTTTCACTTCAGTAACTAAGGGCAGAATCTGGGCCCATTTCTGCGTGACCCTTTTGCACCCATTTCTCCAGTTCTCTCCCTGTGCCTCTCTTCTGTATCCAACTGCAAGGTGTTACCCCAAACCTCTTCAGTGTTGCACATGCAGAACTATTGCATACCTGCCCTTCACTAACTTCAAATGGCCTTTGCCACAGCCTTCACTCCAGACTCTTACCATCTCTTCCTAGAATCTCTCCTTTACTTTCCTCTGACTGCCCATCTCTGTGGCTGCTCCTATTACATGTTTCCTTTTCTTTGCTCTTTTGGAGGTGGTTTCTACCCCAGTTACACAAGTCTTAATCCAGGGAGACACCACTTCTGTCACTGGAGAGGCTCTATCTGCTCAGCTGTTTAGTGGTGGGGCAATGGAAAACCAAACATGGTGCTAGATCCCCTACACGCTGACCAGGTTATCTTGTGTTCCCAAGGGGTTCCTTACTCTTTTCTCTATCCTTAACTTAAATCCTCAAAACATATTGAGAATGTTTCCCCATCTCAGTTATTCAAGTCCTTGAGGTTCTCTTCCCTTCAAAGCAATTGCCACTCCCAAAGTAGTACAAAACCAACGAAACCAGTGCTGCTTTGCCCTCAAAGGCTACATTCTTCCCCTTCAACCTCACCCTGAGATATCATGCTTGGTGTGCTTCCCTGTCAGGTTGTGTGGCCTGCGGACCCTGCAAGCTTACGCTGAAAGGATTCCAGTAGTGTCCTCTGCTGGCATCACCATCAGCTTCACATCTCAGATCTCCTTGACTGGACCTGGCATGCAGGCCGCCTACAGCCTATACAACCAGTCGGATCGTAAGCATATGGCTTCTCACATCATCGTGACACACTGAGGTGGCAAAGCATCTTTCACAGCCATTCAAAATCTTTCTTATATCTCTGACTTGTGTCATGACACACAGGCACACACGCACACGCACACACACACACACACACACACACACACACACACACACACACACACACTGTACGGGCCTCTTTCAGGTGATGGTGGCAGCTCTGGGAATATTTTTGTTT